ACCGCCTTACTTTTGCTAACTTCCTTTTTTTTTTCTCATTTTTTCTTGCGTCAACACGTTTTTAGCTTAGTGCATGAGTGTTTGATAATGATAAATAACAAGTGGTTTGATTATAGGATAATAAGTGGCCACAAATTCTAGATTTACAAAGGAAGTCTCTCATTTTCCAACTAATATAACCTAATCCCTCTAACTTTCATTATTAGCAAAGTGTATCCCAAAATTAAATTTGTATCCAACTTACATATTCAAATATTGTAGATTGTAAAATAAACCCCAACAAAATAATTTAATAATTTGGTCAATTGAAGTCCTAATAAAATAATCTACTTCATTTAAATCCAAATTTGACTTAGACTTTGACTAACTAATAATCACTTCATGCATACACAACATTTAGTACTTCATGCATGCATTCATTAACTACTTCTAGCATTAATCACTACAAAGGTGGCGCCCCCCTTTTCTTTTAGCTAATGGAATATTGAAAGTTAAATTGCTATCCTAAAAAATCTAAACGAGCAAAATAAACGAGCATAAAATTTCGGGGTATTACAGGGGCGGACCAGATCATTAGGAGATGTGTGCCTGAGGATGAAATGAAATCGATCCTTTCACGAGTACATGCTTCGGCTTATGGAGGGCACTTTGGCCCCACTAAAACAGCAGCAAAGGTGCTCCAATGTGGTTTCTTTTGGCCTACATTGTTCAAGGACTGCCACAGTTTCTGTAGGTCATGGATAAGTGTCAAAGAACATGTAACATCTCAGCGCGTTACGAAATGCCACTTAACAACATTTTGGAAGTGGAAATATTTGATGTCTGGGGGGTTGATTTTCTGGGTCCATTTCCACCATCTTACAACAATCGGTACATCCTGGTTGCGGTGGATTATGTTTCAAAATGGGTAGAAGTTAAAGTATTACCTACAAATGACGCAAGGGTGGTGGTGGACTTCATAAAGAAACACATATTTAACCGATATGGATCACCTAGGGCCATTATAAGTGATGGTGGAACGCACTTCCGCAATCGGTTGTTCCAGGCAGTTGTGGACAGGTGGAAACATCAAATAGACAATTGAAAAGAGTTTTGGAGGTCACTGTGAATGCATATCATAAGGATTGGTCAAAAAAATTGGACGATGCTTTATGGGCAGATCGCATAGCTTACAAGACACCTATAGGAATGTCCCCATACCGACTAGTCTTTGGGAAAGCATGCCTCCTACCAGTGGAATTTGAGCACAGAGCTTATTGGGCATTGAAGCAGTTAAACATGGACCTCGAAAAGGCTGAAGAAACAAGAGTACTACAGCTACATGAGTTGGAGGAATTCAGAAGAGAGGCATATGAGAATGCATCCATCTATAAGGAAATGACAAAGCAGTGGCACGACAAGAACATTAGGCAACGAATTTTTCGAGTGGGGGATCAAGTGCTATTATACAATTCCTGGCTTAAACTTTTTCCAGGAAAATTGAAGTCTCGATGGTCCGGCCCTTTTACGGTCTCTCAGGTGTTTCCCTACGGGACAGTTGAATTACACCATCCAACTAAAGGAAATTTCAAAGTAAATGGTCAACGCATCAAGCATTATGTGGAAGATTTCCCCACCGCTAAAGAGAGTCTTGATCTAGCTGTTCCCGAATAACTGCGGCACTACGTCCAGCTAATGACTTAAAAGAAGCGTTTCTTGGGAGGCAACCCAAGCTCTACCCTTTATTTGATTATTGATATATGCTTTGATTTTGTTTTCTTCCTTTAATAATTTATGCTATCGTAGTAACACTTTCTTTTGTAGGAGAATCCATGAAGGTTACATATTGCGGAATTTGAGTTCTACAATGAAAATGAATGAGCGTGAAAAGGGTGAGGTTATAAAAATAAAAAAAATAAAAAAAAATTTACAAAACGAGGCAGAAACTCAGCGCCTAGGCGCTGCGTCTACCGGGTTAACCAGGCGCTGCGCACTTAACCCTCCCCCCCCCCCCAAATTTTTTTTTTATTATTTTTCATTTCTTTTCTATTTCTTATAACCTCAACCCCCTCCCTCCTCACATACGAGATTCTCCAACCCCTCTTCCCTCTCATCTTCTTCCCCAACCCCTTAAGTTTACCCCTTTTCATCTCCTCCTCAACCCTTCCAAGGTACATTCTTCCCATCTCTTTCCTTATTTAGTTATGTTTTTAGTTGAATTTATTTTATCACCTCACCCACATCACAATTCTTTCAATTACACATATTCTCGCCCCCCTCCCAATCCCCCTTGTTGTTTTCCACATCTTATTGTTGCTAAGTGTGAATTCATCCATCCCAATTAGTTTCCACAACACCATTCCAGGTATGGCTATTGTATTTGCTCCCTATTTTTTTTCCTTTCTTACATGATAGTTGTTGATTTTATGTGCTTATTTTTGATAATTATGTTAAGAGGAGGGCTTGCCTTGTTGTAGTGTCAAGAAATTTGTGTGTGGTGTGAATAATGTGGCATGAATTACTCCCAAATTATGGGCAATTTTTGGTGGAAATTTGGTGCCTTCAATTTGTTTGATGAATTGTCTAGGTGAACTTAGTTGGGTACAAAGGAGCTATTTTGGCTATTGTGCTAATTGAATTATGTGGGAATTGCCATGTCGATGATCGTGAATTGAAATTGGGTTTAGAATACATCTATTGCACGTTCGACCATAGTTCCCTCTTATGGCTAGATTTTAAGCCTTGCCTTCTTTTCCTTTATTACTGTTTTTGCTCATGGTTTGCTTGTTCTACCCTTGCACAGGTCCAATGCCGCCTAAAAAGAGATCTAAAGTCGCAGCCTCCTCTTCTAGCTCATTTGATAGGAGCAAATTCATTAGTGCCGAGGCCACTGAACGTTATAATAGCTTGGTGGTACACAAGACCTGTATCCCTGAACGTGGTTTTGACAATTATATGACAGAGCAGATAGGTCGGCAGAATTGGGAAATGTTTGCTCGGCAACCACGACCGGCGCTAATTTTGGTTGTTAGGGAGTTCTACGCCAATGCGAAGGAGCATCGAGATTTTCGAGTGTTTGTGCGGGGTAAATGGATACCGTTTGATAGAACCTCCATCAACAAGTTTTATCATTTGCGAGATATTGAAAATGATGAGTACTCTAGACTTCGTGACGAGAGTGTTGATCCTGATGAGGTTATTCAAGTCTTGACCACAACTGGTACTACATGGAAACGTTCGAAGACTGATGTAATTAACTTCCCTACTTCTGGTATGACTTCGGGTTGTAAGGCTTGGCATCACTTCATTTCTGGCAAACTTATTCCCAGTAGCAACTTAAGTGAAGTAACAAAAGAACGGGCTACCCTCAATTATGCCATTCAATGCCGCCTATCAATTGATGTTTGTAAAGTTATTCACAACAACATCTTACACACTTTAAGAGGATCGACGACAGGTGGTCTAGGGCACCCATCGTTGATTTATGAGCTTTGCTTAGCTGGTGGTGTTGTCACATACCCGACTGAAGAGGTTGTGCACCCCAAACCGGCTATCATACGAGCGCGTACTTGGAAGTTCTTACGCCCTCCGAATCCACCAGTGCTCCACCCCCTCCTCAGAGCGACCAGCCGCCCCGTTCACGTCGATCGACTCCAGCTAGTGATCCCACTTCTGTCCTTGCCGCTCAGCTTTATGATATGCAATTGCAAATGAGTTTGATGCAAAATACATTGTGCGAGCAATTCCATTATCAACATGAGTTCAATGTGGTATTGGCTTCTATTTACTCCAATCGAACATTTCCTCAGCCGCCTCTCCTACCTGATCACGCTGCCAATCTTATTCTGAATACCCAGGACGACGATGTCGAGGACGACGATTAGTCGTCGTTCGTCAGGTAAGTCCCCTCCCTATTTTGTTTCTATTTCACATTGAGGACAATGTTTCAGTTAAGTTTTGGGGGGGGAGTGAATAAATTTGCTTATGTTGTTAAGTTTCTCGAATGCTTATGTGTGATTTGCTTGTTTTATGTGTTTGTGTTTTTATTAAAAAAAAAATTCGTTTCGTGTTTTTGCATGCTTGTGTGTGTTAGATAACCTTGCCGGTATTGATATGTGTAATTGAAAACATGCGTTGATTTATGAATTGTGGACAAGTTATGTGTTTGAGTTAGATTTTTGCTTATTCTTGTGAAACGAAAATTATTTTTTGCACGTGAGTTGATTGTAGCGTTGTGCATGAGTATGTTGATTCACGTTTATAGGTTGAAATGTTAAACCCAAACAACCATTAAACATCACAATACCCTTAAACCAAACTTTGGACGTTTGGATGATTGCACTGTTGTAGGGAAACTTGGAGATAAATGTGGATTTCGTGTGTGTTAATTTTTGTGTGGACTGTCTGAGACTAATGGGATGAAAATTGGGTGAAAACCTTAAGTTAGAGGTCGATTTTCGAGGATATGTGTTTAATAAGGGGCATTGCACTAATCACCGTATAAAAAAAAAGATCCCAATGAGGACAACTTTAATAATCTCATTGTGAATCGTCTCTTCGTAGCCTTTATGACTCGAGTGATTAAGCCTGTAAGGGTTTAAAACTTGGTGCTCTAAAGTCATCTGATTTGGGAGTCATCGGCCTAAAACTCGTTACATGGGTCATTTAGAAAGTTTAAGGGAGAGGCATCCGCACAAAGAGTGATTAAAGAATAAAGATATATATGAAAAAAAAAGAGAGAAAAAACATATATCCAATGACTTGATTAAGTCCCGAACACTTGTTTTAGAGGATTAGACATTTGATAAGGGGTTAGTAACTTGGTTGATTTTTAGATGTTGAAGCAGTCAAAAATAAGAAGAATCCTCATTTGTTGACATGTGGAACTACAATCAGTAAAATCTAACCAAACTTGAATGGTGTAAGAAATTAGTATTGAAAATTTATTCTTAGGTTACACCCTTGGAAAGAGAAGAAAATAAGTTTGGGGGTGTGTAAATCTCACGAGCAAAGTAAGGAAAAATTTGACTTCTAAGGTTGGGAATTGGGTCAACTTATTATTGTACAGCATTGCACTTGACTCTCCACACACATACACACCCGTTTTGCATTGAATAAGTGAGAATTTAACTTTTGTATTATAGCTTTGAAGTGGTTCATGGAATCGAAGTTATGTTTTTAATTCTAAGACATGAAGGCAAGCTATCTAGCGAAATTTATTTTAAGTGATTTTGTTTGTCTTGGTTGTGCTTGTGTGTCCATTAATTATTTTTATGGGTTTTAGTGTTTGCTCGAGGACTAGCAAATGGTTAAGTTTGGGGGTATTTGATGAGTTTGTTTCACTCATGATTTTCGCACAATTTTAGCTTGATTAAATGCTATATTTTATGAGTATAGAAAGTTTTTGATGTGTTTGTTAGTGTTGTTTTGAAAATAAGGAGAAGCGATGTGAAAAGAAGTATTAAAGTAGACGAAGAGGCCAAAAACACGGAGTTGGGGCAGAAAGACGGCGCTTAGGCGCTGCATTCATAGCGCCTAGGCGCTATGAAACTGAAAAAGATGAAATTTGGATCCGAGAGGCAGCACCTAGGCTCCGAAACCATAGCGCCTAGGTGCTGCGATTGACGATCTAGGGCGCATTTTTTTTTTGGCCGTTTTTAAATCCATAAAAACCCTACTTCTATATAAAACGGAGGGGCACATATAAATACATATTCCTCATACTTTTGAGGGGTTCTTGACATATTGGAGAGAAAACAACAAGAAGGGAGATTCAAAGGAGAAATTCAAGAAGATTAACACCAAGAATTGAAGATTGGAAGCATTCATTGGAAGAGGAAGGAGATCTTGGTGCAAGAATTCCACTTTTATTTCTACATCTTTATTTCAAACTCGGTGATGTATTCTAAGACAAATTCCTTCTTTTCTTCTTGTATTATGAGTAGCTAAATTCATTGTTAGGGGGAATAATGTAACCAATTGGGATCTTTTACATTTTCTTATTGAGACTTTCATTTTTTAATTCTTCCATGTGTTGATTTTGTTATGAGTTGAATGCATTAAATTATCCGATCAATAATTTGATGATTTTTGTGAATTCTTTACAAATAGAGATATGAGTTTAGGATTTAGACCATGTAGTAAAATCCAATACATTGGTATAACGAGTAGAGATACCCATATCATTTATTGCGGTCATAATTGAATTCTTAAAACATAGAACTCGTTTAATTAAGTTGAATTTGCAAAAGATATGAAATTTAATTAGTTAAATAGGTTCAATAAGAACTCGAGAGGGGTAAATTGAATACAATAGGAGAATTCGACCGAGTGCTATATTAGAATTGAATTTTAATTTGAGATGTAAAGGTGATCAATTGATGGAGTTATTCTACCCTAACATCCGTTCATTATTTGATACTCCAACCAATCATGTGAACATTCATTTATTTTCTAGAATTTAGATTGAAACCCAGATTTTATAACCTTTGATTTATATTTGTCAAATAGTAGTTAAAGAAAGATTAAATTAAGTTCTAGAAAATAGATTAAATTAAGTTCTAGAAAATAGTCCTTGTGGGATCGATAATCGGACTTTTAGGTCCACTATTACTTGTTACGGGTCGTACACTTGCGAAACAAAATTTTACAACATATTTTTGGCGCCGTTGAATCGTAACGTTAAAGGCACGTGCAATATTGAATCCTAACGTTAAAGGCACGTGCATTCTGCAGTGTTTTCCACTGCGACGGATAGCCCACTAGTAATCTAACAAGTTTGACCCACAAAATAAAGTGTTTACTTGGTTAACCCCTTTCTTATCAATGAACATGGAGTATTACTTGACTGTATTTTTAATTTTTTTTTTCTGCAATTGATTCTGTCTCTCAAGATTGGGTGACCCAAAACTTAAAAACATCTGTTTCTATCCAAAAATAATACAAGAAAACTTCTGCAAATTATTTTTTCTAATATTTATATTCAGTCTATTTTTGACAATT